AACTAACGATAGAACTCCCCTATGACCCAGCAATAGCACTGCTAAGAATTTACCCAAGGGATACAGAAATGCTGATGCATAGGAGCACATATACCCCAATGTTCATAGCAGCACTCTCCACAATAGCTAAAACATGGAAAAAGCCTAATTGTCCATCATCAGACAAATGGATCAAGAAGATGTGGTTTATCTATACCATGGAATACTACATGGCAATGAGAAAGAATGAAATCTGGCCTTGTGTAGCAACATGGATGGACCTTGAGGGTGTTATGCTGAGCGAAATAAGTCAGGCAGAGAAGGACAAATATCATATGTTTGCACGTATAGGAGGTTTAGGAGGAATTTGACTGAGGAACAAGGGGGAGAAGAAGGGGGGAAATGGTGGGGGAAAGGGAGAGAGGCAAACCATGAGAGACTCTTGAATGCTGACAAAAAATGAGGACTGATGGATGTGAGGGGGAAGTGGTATGGGCATGGAGGAGGACACTTGTGGGGATGAGCAGTGGGTATTATGTGGAAACTAATTTGACAATAAACTATTTGCTAAATAAATAAATAAATAAATAAATAAATAAATAAATAATTCAGCAGACGTTTCTCCAAAAAAGATATTTAAGTGGTCGATACACTTATGAAAATATGTCCAATATGATGAGTAATTAGGAAAAAGCAAATCAAAACCACAATGAGATACCATACCACACCTACTAGGACAGCTATAATCAAAATAACAGAAAACAACAAGTATTGGTGAGGATGTGGAGAAATTGGAGCCCTTTTGCATTGCTGGTTGAAATGTAAAATAGTGCTGGTGCTGAGGAAAACAGTTTGGCAGTTCCTCAAAAAATTAAATCTAAAGCTATCATATGACTTTAACAATTCCATTCCTAGCTATATATCCAAAATAAGTAAAAGGAAATACTCAAACTGCTCATTATAGCCCAATATCCATTGCAGCTTTATTTGTAGTAGCTGAAAGACAGACATGATCTACCCTTGTCCTGCCCCAGGGTGTTCATTGCTATCGAGCTGATCCTGTCTGACTGGACTCTTGGGGTGCACCCTGCCCTCTCTGCCTGCCCCCCAGGCACCCCTGCCCTCCCCACCCACCCTGTTTCTGTCTTGCCCACTGGTTGGACCCTCACAATGCTCCTGGGTTCATGTGAGGACCTGTGCCCCCTACCCTTCCCATCATCCCAGCCCTCAGGGGCTTCTGAGCCAGGGGTGGTGGAGGGTTCTATGGTGCTTCCCAGGTATTGAGCTACTCAGTATGCCCAACTGGGGACTGAGCTGCCCCTGGGATGCCCTGGTGGTACATTTGGGGAAGATGCTATTGATGTTGGATAGGCAAGACTGTAGGCCTGCCAGAAAAAAATTTTAAAAGATAGAAATAACCTAGTGTCCTTTAGCAGATCAATAAACATGATGTACTATACTAGTATATATGTATAACAGAATATTATTCAGCCATAAAGGAAATGAATTTCTGATACCTGCCACAACATGGACAAATCTTGAAAATGTGCACTAAGTAAAAAAAGCCAGACACAGAAGGACACATATTGTATATGACTGAACACTACATGATAGGCAAATTTATAGAGACATAAAGAAGAGAAGATGTTACCAGAGACGAGAAGAATGGTAGAATGGGGAGTTATCAATTAATGGATGGTAAGTTTGTATTGGGATAATGAAAATTTTGGAAATAGTGGTGTTGGCTGCACAACATTGTAAGTGTAATTAATTTCACAGAACTGTATACTTAAAAATGGTAAAATGGCAAATTTTCATAAGCTTTATGTATATATCATAATGTATGTAAACCACATATAAGCCACGATAAAAAATAACTCAGTACACCTATTTCACTTCTTTAAATTTATTGAGACAGTTATAAAAAGAAAATTTTGAGGTCAGAAATTATAATGTGAAACATTAAAAGGTTTATCATTGTTCTATACACATGTGCACAGACACAAATACACAAGGGCACAGCAGTATAAAGTCTTACATCTTAGAGATGACTTGTGTTCACCAAAAAGAGGCAGAACTAAATAAAATAAAACAAACTTTTGTTTGGAGTCTCAGAATTGCAATTCAGGGAGCACAGATCTGAGCAGCAACCCAAATAGTGTCCCTCCAGAGGAACAAAAGTCAAGGATTTTTCAAGACAAAAGAGAATGCTTGTATATGTTGTTTATAAAAAAATCTGATTGTTGGTGGTGGCAGCAAACTCGTCTTGGCTGGACATAATTGGTGGCTAAGGCTATCACTAAGCAAAATCTCTTTCCACACCAAATTACAGGTATTCAGGTTGAGTCCTTGGAATATTTTGGTTTGGCCCTGTTCAAAAGTTCTTGATTCCACCTGGTGAGGACCTTTCAAGGTTAATTTTGCACTTATACTTTGAAAAGGATGATTCAATCAACAAGTTCATTTGAGAGAAAGAATTAAGTATAGTCTTTTAAAAATTGTACATGTTTCTTCTGAGACCGGTGGCTGGTTATCTGTGAGGCTATGGCCTAACTGTGCAGTCATTTATGGAAGAACTCCATTTTCCAATACATCACTGTTATTTGCTCAGAGAGTAATGTAGGTTTCAGTTCTGCATGCCATCTTCGCATTTAAGACCTTCTGTCTCTAACCCATTGTATTATATCCTAAGTTATGTACATCTCATATCTGGAAGTGTTTTTTCACTACTTTTGTAGAATTGGCTCCACTCCAGTAAAAATCCCCCATGAAAGCTCTGATCTGTCCTGCTTTCTCCCTGGATAGGAACCACATCTTCATTGGCATCATCAGCTTCTGTTTGTTCCTGTTATCCTGCACCTGTAACCTTTAGGCATATTCTCACACATGTCTGGTTTTCACTACGGCTGTTAATGATGGGGCAAAATGAATGATGTACTAAATGTGATCTCAGTGAATGACTAATTAATGTTTTGTTTTAAAAAGTCCAGTCCTACGGCCTGCTGTACTTCCTTTGGTCATTTTATTGAATCACAACCTCATCATTTGGATTCATTCCCCAAATCCCAGAATTTAAAAAAAAATATTACTATTCTAATTTATAAACTATAACACAGCCAAAAATTGTTTGTCCACTGGCACTGCCATTCTTCAAAAAGCACAAGACAGAACTTAGGGTTATCTTTGCTTCCTCCCTAACCTCTCTTCTTTCTGCTTTTCTGAAAAACCTATAAATCTCATTAAATCTAGATCATAAATATGTCTCATATCATTCCATTACCTTTTGTCTCCACTTTCTTCAAATAAACTGTTATCTCTTTCTCAAACTCCTGCAATGTTGTTTCTTCTATTTGTCTCCTGCTATTTCAAATCCATTTCATATATAAAGCCATAATGATGACTTTAAAACCTCAATGAAATCATGTTACTTCCTTAAGTAGATTGCCTTTGATTTCCTTTTATTTCTCTTTGAGAAGATACTCAAATCCTCAGTATGAGCAACAGGTTCTTTGCGATCTGGCCTCCTCCTCTATCTTCAGCTTCTTCTCAAAGTAATCACCCTCCTCAAATAGCCATGCTATCAGTCTGGATGGTTCCATAATCTATCCCACCAGAAGCCTTCACACATACTATCATCTTCTTAGAATATCCTTACTCCTGTTTTCACTAGTCATTTTCTAAACTTTTTTTTTTTTTTTTTGAGATCTCAACCGATAGCCACTTTCCCAGGGAAACTCACTTTTACCTCAAGTCTGAATGTGGTCTCTTTAGAGACCCACAGTTTCAAAGCACTTTCTTATTAATAACAAAATTTATTTCAAATTTGGATTTATTTGAAATTTTTACTCTCCAATTGTTTAAAAGTTCTAAGAGTGAAAGGGTTATTTTGGTCTCTTTTGTTGCCATTACACTATTTTTGCTTAGTAAAGTGTCTGTCCCATACTCATGCCTTAAAAAAATAAGCCAAATAAATGATTCAAGATTACTGTTACTCCCATGAAAATAGACAATGAGGACTGATTTAAATTCCGTGCCATCCTCTAAACACAAATCTTTCATGTCATAAGGTGTGTGAAAACAAATTATGCAAAAGTATACCAACAGATATAAGTAAACCTGGAAACAGGAAGACCTCTGGAAGTATGGCCCTAATATCTCAAGAGATAAAGTAAGTTATAGAATTATTTATACATAAGGTTTTAAATTGTGTACATGAAAGACAAACTAAACTGGAAAATATTTATAATATAAATAAAACATTAGAGGACAATACACAATGAACTCTCAAAAATCAATGAGAAAAAGTGAAAATTAGCCAAAAACATTTGGATCAGACAAGTCTAAAGTGAGACTTGCAAATGGTTACAGCAAACCAAAAAATTTTGTGTTTTATAACAATAAGGAAACTAATACAAAAAATCTAGAATTTCAGATTATATTAAGATTATCAGACTGATCAAAAGTGTTTCATTTATCCAGCACTTAGAGAAAACACTAAAGAGAAAACAGATCAATTCATGAAATGAACTAATGGTAAATTCATGAACTCAGGGAGACTCTAGGGGAAAGCTTTATCAATGACACATTATCACTGGAAAAGCAAATCATGCTCTGAAATATAGTAGTTAGGAGGTATAGTAGAGTTCTGTGGTCTTCAATCCATATGTCTAGTTCATTTTTGTGTCAGGCCACAAAATGGAGCTTCAATTGCAAGACCTTCCTTGTATAGGTTGTGGTTGACCCAAGCTGGATGTTTATTTTGACCTTCCCTGTAATACAGCTTGTACTTATTATTGGTATAGAATTGGAGTTACCCTGCTTATTAGGGTATCTTTCCTGCTTATTAGAGTATTTGTCCAAATTTTTATTTACAAATTACACTTCGTTAGACTCTTTCTCCATATAGATATATAGACTATAGAGTGGGTGAGTGCCAGGAACAGAAATATGGAATGAATTCTATATACGTATACATGATAGATAGATAGATAGATAGATAGATAGATAGATAGATAGATAGATGATAGATCTACATGTACATTAATTACTCTCTCTCTATATATATATATATTCATTGCATTACTGCTCAACTTAGCTTATAGCTTTATGTAATAATTAAAATCTTATCTAACACTGATAAAAGAAGATTAGGTATAAAACTCAGGTCCCTTCCAATTATGAAAAGTCTAGGAATCCTGGAGTTTCCAAGATTCTGAAATAAAATCTCAAGCTCTACTATGCACAGAAAATAGACAAATGATGCTTCTCTGAATTTGCTTGGTCTTGATGCTATATATAATGGGGTTCATGAATGGAGGAAAGAGAAAGTAGATGTAACTCATGGTAATGTGGTCCGCATGTGGTTCATGTTTCCCGAACCTGTGGATGAAAGTTAGGCCAATCACAGTAATATAAAATACCAGAACACAGCTAATATGGGAGACACAGGTGTTAAGGGCCTTAGCTCGCTCTTCTCCAGAGACGGTGCCCATAACTGTCTTCAGGATTAAAATATAGGAGAAGAGGATAATCAGAGCATCTAGGAAGAAAGTCAAAGCAACCAGAATAACTGGATAAACACGATTAAATGTGATGTCAGCACAGGCGAGTTTCATGACATCTTGGTGGAGGCAAAAGGCATGGGAAAGAACATGGGAACGGCAATATGGGAACCAATAGAGGGGCACAATTGGGGGCACAAGGAATAAAAAGCCCCTCATTAGTACCCCCAGTCCTACCTTCATCACCCGGGAATTGGTAAGAATGGAATTATACCTCAGAGGGGTGCGGATGGCGATGAATCGGTCATAGGCCATGGCAAGCAAGACACCCGATTCCACAATGGAAAGGGAGTGAATGAAGTAGGCCTGCAGGAAGCAGGCTCCATGACTCATCTCCCGGTGATTCATCCATAAGACACCCATTACAGTTGGCATTGTGGTCAATGTCACCATCAGATCTGTGCCTGCCAGCATGGCAAGGAAATAGTACATGGGCTCATGGAGGCTGTGGTCATCCTTGATGAGGTAGAGGAGAGTGCCAT